AGATGTTCATAGTAATCTCTGAACATTCTCTGAATTTCTACTCTTGGTATCTTCTCCTTTCACTTACTATCCTATTTATTTGTGTTTTTTACCATATTTTCTCTGTGACGCTGGCTAGAGATTTGTCAGTTTTATTTTTTCAAAGAACCAACTTTTGGTTTCACTGATCTTTTGGATTACCCTTTTTATTTTTATTTCATTTATTTTTGCTTGAATTTTTATTATTTCCTTTCTTCTATTGGCTCCTGGGTTTTTTTGTTCTTTTTCTAGTTCTTTGAAATGGGAGATTAGGTTGTTTCTTTGGGTTATTTCTTGTTTCTTGATGGGGCCTGTATTGCTATATACTTTCCTTTTATATTGCTTTTGCTGCTCCCATACAGCTGGGAAGTTGCCTCATCATTAAGTTGCCTTATTCATCTCAATTTATTTTTTAATATTTAATCTTGGATTCCACATTAATCTAATGGTTTTCTGTAGTATTGAGTTTAATTTCTAGGAAATGGTAGTATTCCTTGCTTTCTTTTCACAGTTTATGTCTAGTTTGGTGTCTTTATGGTCAGAGAAGATAATATGTTTTTGGTCTTCATATACCTGCTGATGTTTGTCTTGTGGCCCAGTGCATGATCACTCTTGGAGAATGATCTGTGTGCACTTGAGAAATATGTGTATTCAAATTTTAGGGAGTGCAGTATCCTATAAATGTCTGTTAGACCTGTAGGTCTGGGTCTCTAAGTAGGGCTATAATGTTCATTTTTAGAAATGATTAAAATTTGCCGTTAACATATTTTGGTGTTCCTTCATTTGGCAAATATATATGAGTGTTATATCTTCTTGGTATTGTCCCCTTGAACATAATGTAGTGACCATATTTGTCTCCTTTTTTTTATTCTTTAAAAATTTAGAGGCCAGAGATGCAGAGGGTGAGAGGATTCACCAGAGACAGAATGGGGAACAGAACAGGCAGATCAACAAAAATACACTGCTGAGGGAAGCAGCAGTCAAGACAGGAGAGGTCTGCTGTGCCATGTTTGTCAGCTACCTGGCCAGGGATTGAACTTGTGCTGCATGGCTGCAGATAGCTTCATAGTGCTGCACTTTAACAAAACTGTGTGCCACCAGGGAGGCCCCCATATATTCTCTTTTTATGTTTTTAATTTGAAGTGTATTTTATCTAAAGTAAGTATGGCTGTTCTGGCCTTCTTTTGGGGTCCATTTGCTTGAATAATTGTTTTCCAACCTTTTACTTTCAACCTGCCTTTATCTTTTGCAGTTAGATGTGTTTCCTGGAAAGAGCAAAAAGGTGCATTCTGTTTTAAAATCCAGCTTGCTACTCTGTGTCTTTTTATTAATGAGTTTAGTACATTTACATTTAGGGTTATTGATATATTGGAGTCTGTACTTGCCCTTTTGTTCATCATTTTGAAGTTCTATCCCTTATCTTATTCTTTCTATTCATTCCTCTGTTAGTTTTGGCTTTAAGTAGATTCTTGTAAAAAATTTTGGAATAAGGCTAAGTAGTAATGAATTTCTGGGGATTTTGTTTGTCTCAGAAGGTCTTTGATTTTCTCTCATAGAGGAAGAAGAGCTTTGCAGGGTAAAGGTATTCTTGATTGGCATTTTTTTGTGTTGGAGTTTGTTGAAAATGTCACTCCATTTTGTTCTTGCCCTTAGTGTTTCTTTAGAGAAGTCTGATGTCAGCCTAATTGGTTTTCCTTTGTATGTTATCTGTTTCTTCATCCTTATCAGTTTCACTATTATTTCCTTTTCTTGGACTCTTAAAAACTTTACTATTATATGTCTTGCTGTAGTTTTCTTTCATTTTGGTAATTATTTGGTGTTCTAGTTTCCTGTATGCCTGTTTTCATTCCTTCTCCATGTTTGGGAAGTACTCTTCAATTATTTCCTGGAATAATTTCTCAGTTCCCTTGTCTCTCTCTTCACCTTCAGGGATTCCTATGACTCATATTTCCTTTTCCTTATGGTGTCAGATAGTTATTGAAGTGTTTCTTCATTCTCTTTCCGTTGTACCTCTTTTCTTTTCTCTTCAGTTCTTTTGTATCTTCAAGAGTACTGATTCATTCTATTCCTTCTGTTCTCCCAGTATCCTTTATGGTCTCTTTGAACATCTTCCATTTCCTTTAATTTCTTCTTCAGGAATTCATTCTCATTCCTCATTGATTGTATTCTTTTCCCTTTCTCTTAACTATGAATTGTTTTTATTATGGCATTTCTAAATTCTTTTTCTGTGAGGCAGAGGTATTATTCTGTGTCCGAATCATTAGATTCTGGAGGTTGACTTTCTTCCTATGGTGTATCGTTACCAAGAGGGCCTGCTTAATCACTTGTATTTTTCTTTTCTTCCCATTGTTTGCTTTTGGCTTTGCTCTATTCACAGTGCCCCAGTACCATTGGTGCTATGGACATGATTTCTGATTTCCCTTGCTATGTCATGGATGTTTCTGCCTAGAGCCTTAGCTGCTGATGAGCAGAAGTAAGGGTGGGGGTCCTTGCAGCTTAACCCTCTGCTTTTCAGCTAGACCACTGCTAAAAGCAGGAGGGAATCTAGCCATTATTCCCTGACTTGGGAGTTGGGGGCTTCCTGCAGTTCCCATCTGGTTGCATACCTGCCAGGTAGTTGATGTCAGCAACCTCCAGAACCCAATGATTCGGACACAGAATAATACCTCTGCCTCACAGAAAAGCCTGGATGCCCAGGCTTTCCTACTGGGCATGCAGGATAGTGCGGTGGGTGAGGTTTAAGGTGGAGGGGAATTCTTGTACTTCCTATCAAGACACATTTCTGTTGTGGCTGATGTTATAAGCTGTGATTTGCCCCAGGCACCCCTGCCTTTCCAGCCCCCTCTAACTATGTAGAATGGGAACCAACTACTCAGCCTGGGGTAGTTAAGAGTCTTCTGAGGAGCTCTATACCACCAGGCACAAGCTGAGACCCAGTTTATTGTGAGATACCTGCAGGCTACACATTCAGTTTTTTGAAGAGCAGCCCTAGAGATTGGGAGGTCTTATTCTGTAAGGATCAGACAAACTCTTCTCTTTTATATCATGTGTTTAATTTGGGAAAATTAACTTCTCTAACCCTCTTTCTTCACTTATGAGAATAATATCTTGCTGAGTATTAAATACATTGATTTAACATAAGTTCTCAGTACATTAAGTAATGTATTTAATAAATATCTTACCTTATATTTTCTTTCAAAAATGGGAATCAAAAACGGGGGGGTGGCGGCCCTCCCTGGTGGTGCAGTGGGTTAAAGCACAGCACTGAGAATCTAAAGCCACTTCCGCATGAGTTCGATTCCCGCCTGCCCCGAGGTGACCACATGGTGTGGCAGACCTCTCCTGACCCGCCCGCTGCTCCCCTCAGCAGTGTACTTCGTCTATCTGCCTGTTCTGCTCCCCACTCTGTCTCTGGTGAAGCCTCTCACCGCCCCTGAGCCTCTGGCCTGTACCCCAGCTCTGTATGCACAAATAAATAAATCTTTAAAAAAAAAAACAAAAAAAAACGGGGGGGTGGGGAGGGAAGTGCATGGGATTATGGTGATGGCACATGAGTGACTTGGTGATGGGTAACCCATGGGGATTACAATTGAGATGGAAAAAAAATGTACAAAATGATGTAAAAATAAACAAAAGAAAGTTGAATGTATAGTATTGTAATGATAAAGTAAACTTAATTTTATGTACTTGGTCAGACTATTAATCAAACACCCATCATTTCTGTACAATATAACCAATGCTGTGTAACTCTGGGTATGTTATAAAAATAACTTTTTAATAATAATTAGATGAAAAAAATTAGATTTAGAAATTTTTTAAAAAGTAAATTATGAATTAAATAAGCAAGAACAGTTTCAGAAATATTTTAACTAGCATTATTATGGTCAACATCTCTCTTTTCCCAACTTTTCCTCATCTTCCATGCTGAGTTTCAAGTTTCATTTCCTATCAAATTTCAGAACATTCCATATGACTCTAGTACTTCCTTTAAAAAAAAAAAAACTAGAACATTAACTCAAAATTTCTCAATTTAGGAAAGAGATCATAATTGTGGCTTTAAGTTGCCTCAATGATTGACAGGTATATTAAGCCATATTTTTTAAATTGCTTTTTTTTGGATTAAAAGTAGGTCAGACATAGACAACTTAATATGGCTCAACAATTAGCTACTTAAGAAGATAATTTTCAGTTTTGAGTTTCTAAGTACTTGATTTTTAGAAAATATTTATTTATTTTATGCATACAGAACTGGGATACAGGCCAGAGGTACAGGGGCAGTGAGAGGATTCACCAGTGACAGAGTGGGGGGCAGAACAGGCAGATCAACGAAGTACACTGATGTGGGAGCAGTGGAGGAGACAGGAGTGGTCTACCACAACATGTGGGTCACCTTCCTGGCTGGGTTTCAAACTTGTGCAAAGCGTTTGCAGCACTGCTAGGGAGAGTCAATACTTGATGTTTTTTAGGGAGAAAATTACTGAACTCCTTTTTTCCTGTGCAAGGCCTGAAAAAAGTTATTTTATACTCTAGAAGATAGCCAAATAAGAGTAACAAAAAATAAACAAACATAATGTAGTATGTAGCTTGAACATTAAACATGAACAATATCTATTCTGGCCCTTTTAAGATGTAAGAACTGAAGTCCAGAAGATTAAGTGAACAATGGATCTATAATTAGAACTCAAGGTTTTCTGTTGCCTCTCTCAACCTTTTTATTATACCACGTTTTCATGATACTTTCTATTTCTGGCCCACTTTATTATAGGCATTTCCCCCCTCCACCCATCCCTTTTTTTTTTTTTTTTTTGCTATGCTGAGCTTGATTTTCTTGACTGGTAGAATATTGTTGAGTTTGGGTTGGAATGGGTCATTGAGGGCTTTGGAAGAATTAGAGAAAGAATTGGCAGGTGCATACAGTGGCTGGTCCCACAGTTGAGGTGTCATGATAGGATGTTGAAACAGTTTTTTATTTTTGCTTTCAGATGACTTGATGCAGCTAGTAAAGTTATGTCCCCACACTGAATTAATTCAGTGCCTCACTAAAGAATGGAATGGAAAGCCACCACCTTTATCTTTTGGCCTAGCTATACTTCATCTATTCTCTGTAGATATGAAAAAAGTTGCCATTAAATTGCTTCAAGAAATAAGTAAGGGTGGGAAAGGTAAGTAGACTAAAGTGTTTTTGTGGAGTAAATAATTGTGGGTTGTTTAGGGAAAGCTTCAGTAGCATAAGTTAATCTTCCTAAGAGTCCTTCTTGTCAAGAATTAACTTTGGGAGTTTAAAAATATAAAGGTTATAGAGATTACATTATATTGTAATGGTATATATTTCTTGAAACCAGAGAGAAAAGAAAATCTTTATGAAGTTTGAGGGGAATATTGTAATAGTTAACACTACTCTAAAAACTATAATTTTAACATATGCATATTTACTTTAAATGCTATTTAGACTCAGATCTTTTAAAATTACTAAATAAAATACACATGTAAATATCAGTTATGTATATTTACTCTGAACATAACTTTGTGGTGAGATTAAAAACTAATTCAATTTTACTTTTTCCTTTTCTTTCTCTAATTTAAAATAAACTTGAGCAGAAAACTGGATCTTAAGTTACTGTGGGAGTTAAAAAATGGAATGTAAATTACATGAAAGCATATTTTAGGAAGATAACTAAAAATCACTACAGCTATCACTAAGATACTTTATTTAATAAAAAAATAATAACTATGGTAGAATAAAATAATAGTAATGACAATATTCTTAAAAAGATCCTTAAGTATTTTAAGTAATGCAGGTAATAGATAGGACATGAGCTTTATATATAAATATATATCAAAGAGGGGCACTCTTGATTTTCAAATGTAAAGAATTTCATTAGTTTTTTACTTATTTATGCATATAGAACTGGGGTACATGTCAGAGGTGCAGGAGTGGTGAGCGATTCACCAGTGACAGAGTGGGTAGCAAAACAGGCAGATGGAGAAAATACACTGCTGAGGGGAGCAGTGGGCGGGTCAAGAGTGGTCTGCCCTACCTTGTGGGTCACCTTCCTGGCCAGGGACCCAACTTTCCGTGAAGCCGCTGCTGAAAGCTTCATGGTGCTGCATTTTAACCCGTTGCACCACCACGAGGGCCCAAATATTTCATTAGTTTTCTTTAATAAGCAAAATATTTCCTTTGGAAAAATATTTGTCGTGTAGGTTACATCATTTGGCAGTTACTATCTAGGGATAAAATGGAGGATTTGGCAAAGAGCCTTTTCAGCTCTTTGGTCAGCACTATAAGGGAATTTATAAAATTCCCTTTCATGATGCTTGATGCATCATGAAAACTATTATATTCCTTCAGTTATTTCAGTTTCTGGTCTCTACTTTTTAAACTATATGAGCAAGTCTGAACCTGTAATAGATTCTTCACGCCTTTTAAGTTCATTTCTTTATAGTCTTCAGCATCTAACCTAATCAAGATGGAGATGCACAGAGGAGTGGGGAATGTGAAAAATGGTAGAGTTGAATTAAGTCATTAAAGCTTAGTGAAAATAGAGAAGGAGAAGGAATTTAAGTACCCCATGTTAAACTTAATAGGAATCAGGTATGAAAATCAGATTTATTATTAGTAATTAAGTAGAAATGTATCTTTTTCAATTTATGAGGAATTGCTAAGGATGGATTATCGAATAAGATAAATACCATACTATAATTTTATTTTTTTCTTCAGATGCACTTGAACATGTTATGATAAATGATCCATTTTGCTCCGTAGAAAACTGGCAAGAAATGGCAAATATATGTTTACAGAATGGCTTTCAAAAATTATCTCATGACATCATTTCCATTCTTCGATCTCAGTCTGGAGTTACAGAAATTTCTAAAGAGGATGATACAGTCAATTTAATGGAGCATGTTTTTTGGTAGTTCTGTATCTTAACCAGTTGAGGGAGCTTCTTTTATGTGTGGTTGGCTGGGGAAACTTATTTTAACATAACTAACAAATAAATCTAAAATATGAAAGTCATAGAAATCTATGCTTCTTTAGTTATGATGCCATTTAAATTTACCTCTGAAACATTTATACTAGTGCTTCCTTTTTTCTGAATAGTCATTTTTTATATTGAATCTTGATAAAACACAAGAAAACTCAGTTTAGGCATTTCCATCTTTATAACAGCCTAAGCTAATGTCCAGAAAAATTCCTTTCTGCTTATCTAATTTGATAGCAAGAACTGAGGATGTATGAATAGTATCTTGTCTCTCTTAGACTGTTTCCCCAAATATCAAATGTGGTAAGCCTGATTTTTTTTTTTAATTAAAAAGTTTATTTTTACATCATTTTGCACATTTTTTTTTCATCTCAATTGTAATCCCCACGGGCTTCCCATCACCAAATCACCCCTGTGCCACCACCATAGTCCCGTGCATTTC